TGTTTAAGTACAAATAAGTGCCCAATCTGTATATGACGAAGAATACATTATAAATCTGGGACCTATATGCCAGGCAGTCATAAACCCGAAATCCATTTCCATCTTTCTGTTCCATAAAATGGGTTTTGTTGAATAAAAACTTCACTTTCAGTCAAAATTTACTATTGCATATAAAATTACAGCACAAGCCATTTTATTATTTAATGTTATCAACAATTAACTTTTTATTTCTATCAGCAGCTGCTGTAATTTTCTAAAAATTCAATACAAAATGGCATCGTGAAGACGTTCCATACACTTGTCCCCAGAAATGTAATTTCCTGCACACCCGAATATTCACATATCCATCTGGAAAGGACATGGTAAAGCAAACAGCAATTTCTTCAGAAGAGAAAAAGATGTTAAATTCATACAATGTACATTGATCACCAGAGGTGTTTCCTCCATGTTCCCTCAGTAAGTGTTAAGCTGGCTACAGGTGGATTGAATCTCGGCTGGTTCAGCAGGGACTGGCCAAGATTCAATCCATCTATGGGCAGGATGGTTGCAATGAAGTTGATTCTTCAATCGACTTCTGTACAACAAGCCTGTTGGATTTTTTTGCATGCGATTTTATCCGCCAGCAGTAATCATTGCCGGCACAATAGTGCTGCAGGAGGGATTCCACCATCAACACTGACTGTGTTGATGGGGGAATCATGGGATCAACCATGGGTAGCAGGAAAGAAAATCGCATCATCTATGGTTTGCCTTAGTACCTCGCAGAGGTAGGGTTTATGAAAGTCATTGTCTTCTTACACTTCAAAAGACCTTCTGTAGTGCAATTAGCTAAGTAAAAATTGTGTTAAATTCAACTTCTGTGTCTTATCGAAGAGTTCGAGTGGTAGTAAACTCTTCTTTAATAGTTTTACCTACAGGTAAACTTATAATAAAGCCTACCTGTAGGTAAAATTAATATCTCCTAAACGTAAACCGTTTAGAAGATATTAGCCCGTTTCAATATTCGGCGCATGTGCTCTGAAGGAACGGCCTACCCGTGCCATTCCTTCAGAACATTGTGCAGTGGCCTGGGACTCCCGCGTGCATGTGTGGGAGTGACGTCATCGCAGCTCGGCCAGTCTGCCAGCCAGAGCTCCTGAACCCGGAAGGAAGACCGGGTGAAGATGGAAGCCCAGGGGAACCGTAACAGTGCTCCTCTGGTGGGCTTCGTTTCAAGGTAAGTCCTTCATAACGTGTTCGTATGCAATGCATACTACGACATTATGCCTTTATCTTGCAGGGTTCTTTATTTTGTTTTCGATGTGGTTTACTACTGCTTTAAGCTGTCTGTGAATGGTGCCAAGTCAGCAGGTGACCATACAGTCCAGAGAGATTTGTTTTAAGGAGGTATGTCAATGCATAAAGTGGCATTTGAAACAGAACAAACTCTTAGTGGACATTGACATGACTGTGGCATTGTTGTAATGTAGATTGTGTTCTTAGTTTTCTAAACAATTTCGGCAGTGATCACAAAGCTTAATTTTATTAGAAGCTGTATTATGTCACAGACGAAGCAATAAAGTCCCTTTAAAGGAAACATGAGAAAAACATGGAGGCTAACATGCTTGGCTGTCATGCCATACTCTTTGCTTCATCGATTTGAGTCAATGACTATGAAAAGTATGTAGATAAAGACTCTGATTCTCATGATCTGAGTACATGTCCCTGGTCAATGGCTCTGAGCTGGGGGGTCCATCTAACAGCCAGGCAATTTGCATTTTGACAAAGAGGTCAGCAATGGCTTCCTCCATATTTCTCCTGTGACAGGTGTGATTTCAGATGAAGTGGACAAAATCAGACAAGAAGAGAGTTTTTTCTTTGCCTTGGGCTCTACACACCTTGTTCTTGGAATGTATTTATAGCTTAAAGACCTGTAAATCTCAGGCACACAGTTGTGGACAAAGGGCTCTACAGTATCAGATATCACTTTCACTTTGATATAGGTAGAAAATCCTTTTTGACACGTGCCATGCATTCACCATATCAGCCAGGAACAGCAAATGTTTTATAGCTGCAGAATTTACATTTCCATCTAAAAATCCATCCTATATATTTTTTTAGGACACCCACAACTCCAAGAAGCCAGGCAATATATATTTTAAACAGACAACTGATCGTAGTGTCAGTTATTTTCAATCAATGGACACAGCACACACAACAATACAACTCTATGGGGAGGAGGCTGGTGTGAGTCCACAGCAGTGAACATGACACTAACAATCTGGGCAGTTTAGGCATTACTAAGGAACAGTAGAATCGGAAAGTTATTATTATTATTTCAGGTACTTATATATCGCCATCAATTTACGAGCGCTTTACATATATATTGTACATTCATATCAGTTCCAAACCCTTAAGGGGCATACAATCTAAAGTCCCTAACTTACATTCATACATACACATACTAGGGCCGATTTAGACAGGAGCCAATTAACCTACCACCATGTCTTTGGAGTGTGGGAGGAAACGGAGTACCCAGAGGAAACCCTTGCAGGCACAGGGAGAACATGCAAACTCCAGGCAGGTGGTGCCCTGGTTGGAATTTGAACCAAAGACCCTAGTACTGCCAGGTGGAAATACTAACCATTTAGCCACTGTGTTGCCCACATTGTATTCTGACACAGGAGGGCTAAATATGCAAATGCAGGGTAGTTTTATATTAGGAAGGGCTAGTGTTAAAGCTACAGAGAGCAAGTGAAAAGTTTACAGGAGTGGCTCGCGTTATGGGTGTAGGGAGGTTCAGTGTTAGTGTTACCGGAAGAGTTAGTGTTAGGGCTATAGAGAGGGTCAGTGTTAAGGTTAATAGAAAAGTTAATGTTAGGGTTACAGAAAAGGTAAATATTAGGATTACCAGAAGAGTTAATGTTAGGTTTACTAAAAGGGTTAATGTTAAGGTTACAGGGAGGGCTATTGTGAGGGTTACAGAGAGAGTTAGTGGTGAGGATACAGAGAGGGTTAGTGTTAGGGTTACAAGGAGGGTTATTGTAAGGGTTATAGAGAGACTTAGTGTTGGGGTTACAGGGAGGGTTAGTGTTAGGGTTACAAGGAGGGTTAGTGGTAAGTTTACAGAGAGGGTTACTGTTTGGGGTTACAAAGGATAGTGCTGGGGATACAAAGAGGGCTACTGTTAGGGTTATAAAGTTAGTGTTAGGGTTACAGGAAGGGTTTGTGTTAAGGCCACAGGGAGGGTTATTATTTGGGGTTACAGAGAGGCTTAGTTTTGGGGTTACAGGGAGACTTAGCAGTAGGGTTAAATAAAAATGAAATGCTACTGTTACAGGGTGGGTTAGTGTTAGGGTTACAGACAGGATAAGTGTTAGGGTTGTAGGGAGGGTTAATGATGGGACTGGGATTACAGGAAGAGTTAGTGTTATTGTTAAGATTACAGATAGAGTTAGTGTTGAGTTTAAAAAAGGATTAGTGTTAGAAATGGAGTAACGGGAGAGTAGTGTTAGCAATACAGGAGTGTTAATGTTAGGTTTGGGGTTACAGAGTTAGTGTTAGGGGCTACAGGTAAAGTCAGTTTTAGGATTACAAAGAGGGTTATTGTTAGCATTAAAAAAAGAGGGTTAGTGCCAGAATTAGGGACCTTGTGTTGGTGTTAGTTTTTAAGGCAAGGCTAGTATTGAGGTTACATGCAGAATTGGACATATAGGGTTGGGATTACAGATAGAGTTAGTGTTAGGGTTACAGGGAGAGTTAAGGTTATAGAGGGTTAACGTTGGGGTTACATGAAGCATCAGGCCTATATGGTTATAGAGTTGGGGTTACAGGGACGGTTAGTGTTGGAGTTACATGAAGAGTTGGGGTTATAGGGTTGGGGTTACAGGGAGGGTTAGTGTTGGGGTTTGATGAAGAGTCAGACTATTATGGTTATGTGGTTGGGGTTACAGGGAGGGTTAGTGTTGGGGATTGATGAAGAGTCAGACTATTATGGTTATGTAGTTGGGGTTACAGGGAGGGTTAGTGTTGGGGTTACATGAAGAGTCAGGCTTATTTGGTTATAGGGTTGGGGTTACAGAGAGAGTTAATGTTAGTTGGAGAGTTAGGGCAACAGAAATGGTTAGTGATATGACTGGGGTTACAGAGTCAGTGTTGAGGTTACAAGGAAACTTAGTGTTAGGCCTAAAGAGACAGTTAGTGTTAAGCTTATAGAGAGGGTTCTACCAGAAACCTAAAACTGGTGTTAGGGTTACGGGGAGATTCAGTATTAAAAATACAGAGTTAGTGTTAAGTTTAGGGATTCAGTGGGGTTAGTGTTAAGGATTACAGAAAGGGTTACATTACAGTGACTGACAACAGTGGTAAAAGCAGAGAACAGTTAAAGTAACATGAGGCTGCAAAGATTCACCCCCTCTTCCTGTCCAGATGGTGGATGTCAGACAGAGTAGGAAGGGCAAATCTCAACAGGGACATTTTAGACCTTTCCCCACTTTATCAAAAACTGAAACAAAATAGTTTGCCTTTGGTTGGGCTATTGATACTCCATTAAAGGGTGGGGACCACTCTGTCATACTCTATGAGACTCACATTGTAATTAAAGTGGAAACGCCTTTAAACCTTAAAACTCCAAAGACATGCTGGTAGGTTAATTGGGTCATGTCTAAATTGGCCCTAGTAGGTGTTAGGGACCTTAGATTGTACGCCCTTGAGGGTTAGGGACTGATGCGAATGTACAATATATATGTAAAGCTCTGGGTAAATTGATGGCGCTATACAAGGACCTGAAATAAATAAAAATAACCTCATCCTACTAAAACCACAAGGTATAGAGCTCCAGAAACTTGTGTGGTGAAAAGACCAATAAAGAAGTGCAGAATTCAGTGACCCAAAACCACCATCATATTTCAGATATTATCATTTTACACCACTTACAGCAATGGGAGATGGTCACTGACTGGTAGCTGTGGTTTACTATGCTCTGCTTTATTGAATGCCCCCAAATGAAAAATAAATCTTACATGGCAGAATGTTCGGGTATCTGTTCTTTTCTTTGTTCTCGTCTCTGTTCGCCACTTCGAAAGATCCTTGAGGATTTCCCATCTGCAACGACTGTGGAAAATAAAACAAATGAGTCTCACTATCTATACAACGATGAGAGTGCAGGAAAGCATGAAATTAGATTATGCAGGGTCCGCTCTATCACAGTCACAGCACTTCTTAATGGGAGTCAAGGAAGGCACCGCACAATGCAGACAGGTTAACAAGGAGCAGCTGCTGTTAATACTACCGGCACCTGATAATAAGTCCAACTCCAGCAGCAGGACGATGGTGCTCACGGCTGGTTGCAATTTAAGTGATGCCTAGTGCGTATTGTTTGCAAGGTGCCCAACTTGAGGAACAATTGTCACCTCCTTTCTCAAAACCTGGCCATACATTACACAATTTATTTACAACTTTCTGTAACATTTCTGTACAATCTCCTTTAGATTTACCTTCTACTATGTAGTGCAAAGGTCTGCCTAATTGGATACAAATTGAATGTGGTCTTTAGGTTTAACCTCATATTATATGGTTTTTGGTAAATCTACAAGAAAATTGTATACTGTATGGCCAGCCTAAAGCCAGCCAAAGATGATGCAATTATCTTTCCTGCAACCATGGGTTTTCTCTACTCTTAAAAGTAAGGGGAAGAAGGAACGCAACGTGGCAAAATTAAAGGGTAACTCCACTTCTGTTGAAAAGCAAATAAAAATGATAATATAGCATATACAATTGGTGCACAAGTCATATTGTAATTTAATGTTATTAACCCCTTTACGCCGGCGCCTCCCGGCCCTTTAAGAGTTTCAGAAGCCAGGAGGCGGGTGGGGTTTTAGGGTCATGTGACCGCCGTGATTTGCTGTCACATGATCGGAAAAGGTCCCGATCGCAAGGGGAGATCGGGACCTTTCCGTGAGTCACAGACCTATGTGCTGGGAGCGCGCAGGACACGCGCTCTCAGTACATATGTATTTTTTAATGGCACACAAATATGCGGCCGCTCGGCATCAAGGCCCAGACACCGAGAGACCGCATATTTGAGTGCGCTCGCCATCTAGGGGTTAAAAATGACTTTTGCTTTCCAATCAGTAGTCAGTAGCCGCTGTAATTTTCTGTAAAATTAAATGCAATATGACAACCTTGAGGTCTTCTGTACACCACTTATGGGCGGAATTCCCCCAGATATGTCGTCTCCTGCTTGTGTGATTGGTAAAATGATTTACTCAGAAGTCTGCACTAGTAAAACAAGGCAAATGTTAAGCATCCTCTGCAATAAGAATCAGTTTTGGTGAGATACTACCTAAGGGTTAAAGACTTCTAGAGGGATGCAGACATTGCAACTTTCCTCATTAGAACACTGAGAGTGCCCCAGGTGATTATAATGAACCGCTCCCTCCCATTCGGTGAAAAAGACATGGTGAAACAAACAGTCCTCAAAGCAGAAAAAGTTAGGAATCCTCAACAAAGTTTGTTATAATTTCTGCAATGTTTGTTATAATTTCTGTACTGTATAATGATCACTCAAAGGCAAATCGATTTTTTCCCACTTTTTTTACACTCTAAAGAGAATCTGTCACCAGACCATTCATTTTAACAACAATTTTCCCATAAGATTATATCTGTATTTAACATACCGTATTTTAGGGACGTTAATTTACTTGTAAAAGTTTCTAATTTGTAGGCATCCAAAATCCCTGAGACTATTGCTGAGTGCTATCATCTTTGATGTGATATCAACAGTCCCAGCAGGCTCAGAACTACCACTCCAGTGACACTGTTTAATAATCCCCCCTCACTCCTTCCCTGGTAGCTACATAAAAATGTATGTAAGGATGTAGGGGGGAGAGACAGAATAGCTGGGCCAGCACAGAGAGTAATTCAACACTCTCAGATAAGAAGGGAGCTATGGCATGCAAAGAGGAAGATGTCTTTGTTAGGGAACTGATTACTCAATTTTTCATGTGATGATTGTCAAGCAGCTGAGGCAGCATTTTCACTGGAAGTAACAGACTACTTAAGTTCAAGGAACTGTATAGTTTGTGCAGACTGTGTAGCTCTGCAAGGGTCCTCTTGGATTTAGGGGCCTATATATACTATATTACCAAAAGTATTGGCCCCCCCTCCAAATCATTGGATTCTGGTGGTCTAATCACCTCCATGGCCACAGCTGTATAAAATCAAGTACCTAGGCATGCAGACTGCTTCTACAAACATTTGTGAAAGAATGGGTCGCTCTCAGGAGCTCAGTGAATTCAAGCGTGGTGCTGTGATAGGTTGCCACCTGTGCAATCCGTGAATTTCCTTGCTACTAAATATTCCACAGTCAAACGTTAGTCTTATTATAATAAAGTAGAAGCAACTGGGAACAACAGCAACTCAGCCACCAAGTGGTAGGCCACTTAAAATGACAGAGCAGGGTCAGCGCATGCTGAAGCACACAGTGCACAGAAGTCGCCAACTGTCTGCAGAGTCAATAGCTAAAGACCTCCAAACTTTGGGTGGCCTTCAGATTAGCACAACAACAGTGCATTGAGAGCTTCATGGAATGGGTTTCCATGGCTGAGCAGCTGCATCCAAACCTTACATCACCAAGTGCAATGCAAAGCGTTGGATGCAGTGGTGTAAAGCACACTGCCACTGGACTCTAGAGCAGTGGAGACGTGTTCTCTGGAGTGATGAATCAAGCTTCTCTGTCTGACAATCAGATGGACATGTCTGGTATGGCGGTTGCCAGGAGAACTGTACTTGCCTGACTGCATTGTGCCAAGTGTAAAGTTTGGTGGGATTATGGTGTGGGGTTGTTTTTCAGGGGTTTGGCCTAGCCCCTTAATTCCAGTGAAGGGAACTCTAAAGGCATCAGCATACCAAGACAATTTCATGCACCCAACTTTGTGGGACAGTTTGGGGATGGCCCCTTCCTGTTTATACATGACTGTGCACTAGTGCACAAAGCAAGATCCGTAAAGACATGGATGTTTGAGTTTGGGGTGGAGGAACTTGACTGGCCTGACCTCAACCCCACAGAACACCTTTGGGATGAATTAGAGCGGAGACTGCGAGCCAGGCCTTCTCATCTGACATCAGTGCCTGACCTCACAAATGCGCTTCTGGAAGAATGGTCAAACATTCCCATAGGCACCCTCCTAAACCTTGTGGACAGCCTTCCCAGTAGAGTTGAAGCTGTTATAGCTGCGAAAGGTGGGCCAACTCAATATTGAACCCTACGGACTAAGACTGGGATGCCATGAAAGTTCATGTGCGTGTAAAGGCGGTGTCCCAATACTTTTGGCAATATAGTGTATACTAGTTTGGGTTGGGAAGGTTCTGGGGCCCACTCCTGCTGGCATGTTGGCCTGAAAATTGCTGACTTCCAGATGGGAAGTTGGAGGCATTTTCATATGTGTGGTCTTGGTTGATTATGTCAAAGTGATAACAGGCAGTGAAAACCTCCTTCTCTTTTTGCCTGACCAGAATGCTGCTGCCATTTCCTCCTGACAGTAAAAGGCTGTCTGCCACCTGACCCCCAGTTGCATATAATGAATCATGAGAGTTCAGGGTATCAGAAGGACTACTCTACATATGCATCTCTATACATAGTAATATGTGTTTGTACATAAGCAGTATTTGAATGCAGGATCCAATAACTGTCATTGCACAGGTCCTTTGGTGACTCTGTTCACGGCTATGTCTGTGCAAATTCCCTCCCACGTATGTGCACTTCCAACCGGAATCAGCAATGGTCATCTGTGCACTGAACATCGCAAGGGATCTACATCATGCTGTGTTAAAAGGAAACCAGTACTGGGAGAAGTAATCTCTTCCTCTTAAGCTAGGCTCACATCTATGCAGGTTGCCGTTGATGCGTTTTTTCTGGTGCGTTTTGTGGGTTTTTTTTGGATAAAAGGAATGTATGGCAGTTCTGTTCATGTAGTGAACCTCATGCACTTGTTTAAGTCAATTGAGGTCAGGAAGATATCTCGCCGTCTTTTGTTCTTATAGAGCTATCTGCCTGTTTATGGCTAGTCATACATCTAAACAGGTTCAGCCTAATAAACAATCTTATTATTGTGTTAATGTTTTCTGAACCTTCCTTTCATGCATATTTTCCAGTTGTGAAATATTTGCATGTGCCAGCTTTGCCTCCTGGTTGTGCCATGTTCATCTTTTATCATGCGATATTAGGTGACAGGTTCTCTTTATTGAGACATCCAAGGTCTAAAAGACCCTGCATGTCTCCCCTGTACTACACTGAATATAAATCAGTGCACATCGCACCGCATTACATTTAGTGAATCTATCAATGGGGACCCGGAAGTGACATTATAACGTTACTTCCGGGTCAGGACAAGAAGGGGAGGGGGTGGACGTGTCCGCTCTCCTCCCTGCACTCTAGCTGATGGAGGTGAACCGGGCCCACAGATTGGCAATTGGAGCCTGGGAGATAGTGGGCGGGGGGAGGTTCACAAGAGGGGGCGGAGAGGCTGGCACTGTGTGGAAGCAATCAGTTGCAGCATTGCCGCCGATTGCTTCCACCTGACAGATGAGCCCTTCTGCTGGCCTGCAGCAAGGCTGAAGGTAGAATAAAACTACCTGCCCGGCGCCAGGAACTACATGTTCTGGACATCAGGTGATAGGAATTCAACATCCCTGATAGATGCTGCCATTGTTATTCTAGAAATACTAGTTCCCTGGCTGTCGTATTGATTTGGTGGCTTCAGAGCTGACTAGGCCTTCACTTTGACTTTCCTGATCAGCACACTTGTTGCAGGTCACTAACGCAGTAAGTGCCAGTGCACATATATGCAGGATAGAATCGCATCCAATCTGCATGACATGTTAAATAGCATTGCTTCCTATGGTGCCTGTTCACATACAGTATGTCCGGTGCACTGGCGATGCGAATTCAGTGTGGTTTGAAAAAGAGTCATGTACGATTTCTGAGCAGTGCGTTCAGGCTCAGGTGCAGATTACAGGCCATTGACTTCTATGGGAACCGTTTCTAAACTGCACATGTGTGAACAGGATAAAATCCTGTCCTAATCCTGACCTGAAACCGATATAAACCTGACATGAACCGTTGACCAACTACTTTGTCAATTAGCTGAGCTTCAATCTACAATGCACATATGTGAATCAGCTCTAAGTATTGCAGCCAGGGACCTAGCATTTTAGAAGGAGATCGGTAATGGCAGAATCCTGGTTCTTTCTGTTAAAATTTTGCCTTTGTAAATACCAGTTGCCTGGCTGTCTCTGGCTTTAGCACTTTCTGACCCAGAATTTGCATACAAAGAGAAAGTCAGAGCTCCTGAACTCCATACTTGTCAATTCCTCAGAAAGTATTAAAACCTGTCCTGCTGCAGGCAGGGCGCGTACCACCAGAAAGTATTAAAACCATTTGCATTTTCAGAAGGAAAGGCCAGCAATGGCAGACACCAAATTCCCTCAGCACAAGCTTTCTTCAATTGTTGATGTGGACAAGCAGCCTGTTGCTTGGAGGTGATCTCATTTTTATAACCATACTCAGCAGGATGATGCATTATATATAAAGCCAAACCATTTTTTTTACGTTTTGGTTACAGTAGGGAAGGGTTAGCAACCCTGTCAGGTTTTTTATTGCCCATAACATAGAAAAACAGGAGGAGCACCAGGCCAAATGGCCAAATAGTCCAAAATGCTTTACTGATTATTAGTAAGATCACCTAAAACATTCTAATGCATTTCGTGGCCCCAAGGAACAGGAAGTGAAAGAAACTCTCCCCTGGGGGAAGTAGAGTGCAACATCAAACCTGGCAGGAGTTTTAACCCTTTCCTACTCTATCAAAAAACAAAGAAAAACGTTTTTGCTTTAGATACACTTTAAAACACAGTCCCTTATACACTATATATTGTTTTGTTTGTTTTATAAAGCTCCATGAATTAATACAGACTTACATTGTACTCCTCCCGGAAAAGCTTCCCATCGTCGGCGGATCTTATCCTGACCTCTTCCTCCAACTTATCCACTGGGATAGGGAAGTACGTCTTGCTAACAGTGGGGGAATTGCTGATTAACAACACCCTCTGCTGCTCTGTAAAGAAACAAAATCATGGAAAAACCATTACAAAAATATTCTTTTTATTATCATCCTTAATGGACCAGAGCTACTCTCACAATTCCACTCTGGGCCAATATCTGCCTATTACATGGTGATTACTGATCAGGGGCGGACTGACCATTTGGAAACTCAGGCACTGCCCGAGGGCCCGGGGTCAGTAGGGGGCCCCATGAGATGCTCCTGGTACCTTTCATAGGCTTTTTTTGGGTGTGGTTTGAGTGTGGACGAGGACACAGGGGGCCCCATGATCCTCTATTGCCCGGGGCCCCATGAGTTGTCAGTCCGCCCCTGTTACTGATTATAGCAAAGTGATATTTTACTGATTTGTTTTTGTAGGGACAAACAATATTTGCTTTTGGTGGTATGGTCTTACAATGATTATATTTAAATAATCATTAACCAGAAATAAAGCTTTGTCCTGTCTGCATCAGTGGTCATTATAAAACAAGTTTTACTACAAATATAAAATACAAATGTAATTCTGTGACTTGTCCCATTTATCACGACAATAAACTTATGTTTTTGGTATAAAGCACAATAATACGTTTTTACAAATGCAACAAAGTTAGTTTTGTAGCCAGGTGCTGGTTATATCATCATGCCATTAAAGGACACTTACAGATTGGACTACAATTTCCCCCTAGTGCCCAGTACTGGGTCTGCCACATCACCTCCTGTTAGCAGAGTGGATACAGCGCTTGTACAGGATAGGATCCTGGGATCTGTAGTCCTACAACCAGTACATGCAGCATTCCTGAGTGCTGATTGGACTACAATTTCCCCCTAGTGCCCAGTACTGGGTCTGCCACATCACCTCCTGTTAGCAGAGTGGATACAGCGCTTGTACAGGATAGGATCCTGGGATCTGTAGTCCTACAACCAGTACATGCAGCATTCCTGAGTGCTGATTGGACTACAATTTCCCCCTAGTGCCCAGTACTGGGACTGCCACATCACCTCCTGTTAGCAGAGTGGATACAGCTCTTGTACAGGACAGGATCCTGGGATCTGTAGTCCTACAACCAGTACATACAGCGTTCCTGAGTGCTGATTGGACTACAACTACCAGAGAGAGCTGAATACAGAGGGATGCTGGGAAAGCTTTTATATTCTACAGCAAGGGACCGGCTCGCTCTCTTGGTGTTGGATTCAGAGCTGAACACAGGGGGACTGCCGTTCTCTTCCAGAGACAGATTGCTGGCTACTACTGCGGGACTCTGTGTCACGGCTGTGCATTCGCCACACCAGGATCTGCTTTTTGCATCAGGACTGTCACTATCCAGTCTTCAGCCAGTCATGTCTGCTAGCTGAGCTGAAAGGCTGTCCGGCGGTAATTCTTCTCTGTGAACAGCCAGGAAACCTGTTCAAGAACACTGTTCCTAGGAGGCCATGCTACCCATGGGACTGGTGAGCGGGTGGATGTCCAACCTCCTTCTGTCAGCACTCTAGAGACACTGCATGCAGACACCTTTACACCTCAGTACCAAGACATGCAGCATAAACATCCGTGACATGCAACATATACCGCACTCACCAGATATATTGGACTCCTTAGAAATAAGAGGCAAATATGCCTTGTGGATATTAGATATCCTCCATACTAGGGATTTTCACTGCTCAGAAGGAACTCCAACAAAGGGATCTCCCACACAAATCATGTTAGATGTGGTCGCTGAATTAGTTTTTTCTTTTCAGAAATATTGAGGTTGATTTACTAAAACTGGAGAGTGCAAAATCTGGAGAGCTGCCATGTGCCATGCCATGCTGCCATGAGATGCAATCCATGACATTGTGTTCACACAATGTCATGGATTGTGTGAACACACTGAAATTTCTGTATACAGCACCGTTTTGTTGAGTTTGGAGCATGTTGGATTTGAATATATTTTTTTTTTGGATTGGGACTTTATTCTTGGCACATTTGGACATTTTTTATAATTTTTATTATTAATATTTTAATATAATATTTATTTATACTGTTTTCATTAATTTCATGCGCTGTGTTTTTCATATCACATACATATATATATATATATATATATATATATATATATATATATATATATATATACACACACACACACACACTTTTCTTTTTTGCTATTTTTATTAATTTTATCTTTTTACTATTACAAGCAGGGGCATCAGACCAAAATCCTTTAATGGTTCACGCACAAATACAGTCATTGTGCATAACTGGAAACAATTGATTACTGACGTGATACTTTTTTTATTTGCACTAACATACAATTTTGAGGACAAGCTTTCGGGTTATGTCCCCTTTTTCAAAAGCTTGTCCTCAAAATTGTATGTTAGTGCAAATAAAAAAAGTATCACGTCAGTACTCAATTGTTTCTGTCGCAACTGCACTAATACAGCTACAATCACCTCATGCATAAGTGAAAGAAACCCTGTCATATCTTGACTATTCCGGATTCATTTAATTATAAATCTGTCTAGTAAAGTCAGTTGAATTCACTTAAACTGACACTAAACTCTGATTATAAAAAAATATATTCTATTTAAAGTGGTTGTAAACCCTCACATATACCCAGTGAAGTGACTGGCCTCAGGTGATATACAGAGATGAAACAAATCCTCTTACATACGTTGTACCTGTCTATCTGCCCTCTCCTCCCTACATCCATTGAAAGTCCAGAATTCATAACACTTGTCTGAGGGTTCAGAAAAAAAAGGTTGGAGAGCTGAAGCTACATTCTGCAGAGCTCAGTGAGGAGAGATCTGAGAGCTGATTGGAGGGAAGGGGCACACCCCCCCACACAGAGCTTTCAGGAACAGAGCTGAGGCTGTCAATCTACTGGAGATCCCTCCTCTGTCACCATTTTTCTCTTGGTGTCAGGAAAACGTGTCAGAAATGGTTCTTGCTGATAGCAGAGGAATGAAGCGGCAGAAGAATGACACTTAGTGCTCTGAATTGAGACAAGTACACACTACAAATGGATATGCTTTGTTCAAATTCCATGTCTGGGGTTTACAACCACTTTAAGTTCTCTTAATGTAAAAAAAAAAAAATCCTCTCTTTTGCTCTCCAAATTTCACAGATTTTTTTTTTTTTTTGCTGCTGTGATCTGTTAGAGGGTGGCTATATTTGTTCTCCATGGCCCCACTGTATGTAGGAACATAGTCACCTTCTCTTGCTCGATCCCGAGATGGACTATGTACTACGGGATTTGCACATTGTCTCACCAGTGAGCTTGCTGAATGATTGTGTTCCCTTCACTGCTTTAAAAAAGTCCCAGTGCCTCTTGGATGCGTTCCTTTGGAATTTGAAACTTTTAAACTAAACCCTCCTACGCTCTACAGTCAAGGAAGCTGCCACCTTAGCCTCCGTTTGATCTGCAATTGCCATGTGATCATTTATAACACCAGCCATCTGATATCTTGACAGTTTGCTTGGGAGCACAAGCAACTGTGACAGTTATTGTTCTCTGCATGTCTTGAATGTAACAGTTTTAAGAAACAATCAAATTGAGATTTGTTCTTCTCTAACATTCTAATGACATGTTTGTACCCCCCCCCCCCCCCCCCAATATTAATTTGTCAAAAACTGACTGTTATATTTCATTAGAACTCAGCAAACAGCTGTATTCTATATTATTCCATTTCAGATCCTCTTCTCACTGGCTCCCAGAGGTGAGACGATGTATGCTTGGAAAGAGGAGTTAGGATTTGGACATGTGCTCTGACCTTCAGATGTGTCGGTGTGCATTTGTGAGCACATTCACAACGCATGTCAACTAAAAAAATAATGGTTCTTTATGAATACAGTTCACACCAGTGAGTTGCTTTGTATTTCATTTGCTCAGTGCTGGCAAAAAAAAAATACAGCATGCTTTTACAGCGCAGTGAAACACAGTGCGTACAAATGCACAGGAATATGCACAAACGCAGTGCACTGCAAGGCAAATAAAAAAAAAATGCAACACATGTAAAATGCATGCCAACACATTGCAATGCATAAACAAAAAAACGCAATGTGCACCTGCTAACACACGTTGTGGTGTGAATGAACCCTTAGAGAACTGAAATGAGGACATTTTCATATTAGGCATGCAGTGAGACTATGACCTTGGTCAGTGGCGTCCCTAGGGGGGTGCGGGCCGTACCAGGTGACAGCATCACAGGAGGTGCAGGATGCCGGCACAGTGACAGCTGCCCCCACCCCGGTGTAGCGTTAAAAGAAAAGGAGCGATGCTGGTGTAGCGGTAAAATGAATATCCCTTGAAGATATGTATCCCCTGAAGCAACTGCGCATGTGCCGGTTTCAGGCCAAAGAAGCTGATCGCCGGCTCTGTGCTAAAGTTGGAGATTGGCTTCTTCGGCCTGAAACCGGCACATGTGCAGTTGCTTCAGGGGATACATATCTTCAAGGGATACTCATTTTACCGCTACACCGGCACCGCTCCTTCCTGTCTGGAGGGATGATACCACATGTTTCCACACCGGGTGACACCAAACCCTAGGGACGCCTCTGAACTTGGTACATCTGTCCTTGTATGGGCACAGCAAATGTCTTCTACAAAGTGTGATTTCACTCTTGTCTGTTAGTATATAAACATCAGCCCTTGGCGCCAGTGCCTCCTGGCTCTTTAAGGGGTTTTAGATGCTTGGAGGTGGTGCAGGGTTTCTGATCATGTGACCACCGTGATAGGCTGTTATAGCAGTCACATGATCGGAAAGCACCTGATCACAAGTAGAGATTGGGAGCTTTCCGTTAGCCGCTGGTAACTGTCCCGGGAGTGCGCGCTCTGCACAGTTCTGTTCAAATTTGCGTAGGTATATATGCGGCCTCTTGGTGTTAAGACTGAACTGAAGGCAGGCTTATCAGGATGTTCTCTGAGCAATTCTAAAGGTAAAGCTATGCCCAGCCATTAAATTCTTATATACAGGAGAACCTCGGTTTACGAATTTAATTTGTTCTGCGGAACTTTTCATATTGTGAAACGCGGTTT